CACAATTAGGTATGTCCTGTTTTGCGAATAATTATTTTTTGTTTTAAGATGATGACTAAAGTTAAATCCATTGTCTTTGACAACCATTTAATTGGCATAATTGTAACCGATCAGTAATTTATTCCTATAATCAAATCTTAATTTATTTATAATTAAAATTAAGAATTTAAATAGCAATTTCATGAAACCGTAATTTACGTAATCATTAATCGAGTAGAAAATGGCTACCTTAAAGAGTTTATTTTAATTTAAATAAACAGTTAGAGTTTGTGTAATCCTAAATTTGCTAATCATGGCATGTAAACTTTAACCACAGTTTACCCAAGTTTATTCAAGTTTAATCGTAAATCTATGATGCATACTGAATAGACAATTTCTCAAGAATCCTTTTTCCTCGAAGTCTTCGCTACACTTAATATTAATGGAACTGGTAAATATTAATGAGAACGAGCGAACTAAAATGATACAAGGTTCCCACAGCCGAATCGTAAATTAGCTTTTTCATGGTTAAAACGAATTTTCATTCATACTCATTTTCAAGTCGCTGCTTTCTATGGCGCAGATGGCAAGCGATCGAAACCGCAATTATAAATGTTTAAACATAACCACTTTAATGACCCTTGTCATATTTTATTATACGATTAGAGAATGTCCTCAACAACTTTATAGAAACAAGGAATACAGTAAATGACTTGGAGTTTTTTAAATTTTAAACAGTTACGTAATAATTCTCATCAATTTATATCTTACGTCACCTAACTCGCTTTTTCAAGTAATTTCTACGACGACAAAGCAAAAAAAGGTGGAAGTCAATTTTCCTACAACAAATAACTTAAACTCTATCCGTTAATGATTGTCAAGGTCGCATAAATGCGTGGGAATACTCATAGAAAAAATATAAACAATAAGTCGTAGAAAACTTTAAGTTTATTATGCCATGAATAGCGAAAAATAGGTCGAGACAGCGAGGGAATGTCAAATGTATGCATAAAAACATAAATTGCGCTATTTAATCACTGCGGAATCTAGAGTTATTTCGAGAAAAACCGTCATTAATCAGATCAAAGAATATATTTGAATTACGTATTAGTTAGTGTAGCCTAATATGGCTTATATCGATTCATCTCGAACTATGCGCAATTACATTAATTAATATGGGAGGAAAAATGAATTCAATTTAATAAATCATAACTTAGTTTATAAACTTGGAAGAGATCGCTAAAATCTTTGTTTAATTGTAAATTAACCAAAAAAAAAATAAAATCTTAATAAAAAAATTATGAAAAAAACAAATTCTTACCTTTATTGTAATCCATAATAAATAAATAAATTACAATATTAAAATCCAAATTTTTTTAATATTATAAAAAGTTACGAAATTACTTTTGTTAACAAAATAAATAAAAAATGAAACACAACATGCAATTGAACAACACAGAGAACAGTTAAATGGATAAGAGAGCGTCTTAGTGGCTGACTTGATGGGAAATGCAAGCAAGAAAGGTGTAGAGTCAAGCTACTGCTGTTGTTGTAATGGTTGAAAATGTATTGGTGGGACAGACAAGTCGGTGACGAGAGAGACTCCAGGACTTAATTTGCAAAATGACTATTGCAAGCGCGAACCAATTTACATTGGAGACTTGTTGTTCTCGATTAAACTTAATAGGTGACGTCAATCGTTGTTAACATATTATTGTGGGAAGAACATTTTTCAAAAATATAATAAAATTGTGTAACTCAATAAATTTATATACAATTTACAATAAAATACACCTATACTCAACTTAAAGTTCATTTAAAGATTTTTTAAAAAACTTTGAAAACTTATTTATGAATTCTTACAAAATTGTGTGATTGAAAATACTCAATTCAATCCACTACAAGACAATATTTATACAAACTTGTTAAGTAAAACACACCTACGCGCGATTTCAGTATGTCAAATTCGATTTAAAATCTTATTTTAGCATATAAATATTTAATATTATGACAAAATGAAGTAAACCGTTTTGAAACTTCCTACATGATCGCCAAATTTAGCCGCAACGAATTCTAAGTGCCTCAACGGATTTTAAGTCGATAATGTTCCAATATTTGTAGAAGTAATAAAGAGAAATTAAACGGCAAACACTTTCAACGGATCAAAGCTGACTACAACGTTTTAAAACAAATACGGTATTAAAATAGTTGAATAAATGCTCTGAAACTTATATATGTTAAACCATTATTCCGGCGGATTGTATAAAATAAAAAGGATTTTATAACATTTAGAATTAGATAGAATTCTTAATCTTATGTAGATGTTAATTTAAAACGTGTAGTAAATAGTATTACTCTGCAATATAAAAAATAATAAAATAACGAACTTATATAAATGTGATTTCCTATGTCACAAACAAATAATTGTTTAATGATCATTTAACTCAGAAAATTATGAATTTACGTTGCTTTTATTTAAGTTCAGATGGACGATATAAGAGGTGCACTGAGATGAGAGAGAGGGAGCAAATTAATAGGAAGCATATTCTGGTACTTGGCTATGATACTAAAAATAAAGTGGTCTTCAAATAGAACATAAAGAAGTTTAGAGCTAGAAAATGCCAGAAGTCAGACAAAGGTTACATCGCTGGAACCAAACGCATCGAAGGAACTGGCACAGAAAGCCAGAATGCTACGGAAAGCCATCGTCTAGCTGAACGAAAAGTAAACTGCCACTGTGCTAAAAGTTGGACGAATTAAAGTTGGCTGAATAAGTATTCGAATAAAAATGAAAACTGAGATAACGTGCGAAAAATAAATGTTTTAGTTGTGGAGAAAAGTGTGTAAGAACACCAATAAATAATTCTTAAGCGACTGCGCAAAAAGACCAATAAATAATGTCAAAGATCAGACAGCCGCAGAAAATTTAAGCTGGTGCTCGACGCGGCGAAGAAGGCAAATTAACATTTACAATGATCCAAACTAATGTGCACAAAAGTAGAGCACCTGCCCATAATCAGTGAATAGCAAAAGAATAAGAAGCCTATTCTAAAAGCTGACGCTCTTTGATAACACCGAGGAAATAAATGAGCCGCGATGACGAACCTAGGACTCCCCGGCGACTTTAAATAAAAGAAGAGAACTGTAATGTTTCCCGACTTTTTTCCTGCAATAATGCAAAAATGATAGTTCCAATATTCCCTGAGCCTGGTGTTTCGTATGTAAAGTAGCAGATACAAAAGATTGGAGGCTTCAGAGCAAATCTTTCGCCATGGGCATCAACAACCTTGATAAACGAGCATAATGGTCTTTAATAAAGCTCTAATCACTCGTGGTACAAAAGCAGCTAGTTAACTCTAAACTGGGCAAAATTTAGATTCCATAAATGCTCATATTGTCAATGAACAAAAGAATGTTCATTTGTCGGTACATGATATCACAAATCTTTTTAATTTCTAATTGATAGTAAGTTATTAAATTAGAAGTAATGCTATCCTTGATTCCCTGGGTATATAATCGTCGCAAACACTCCACTTAATAAGTAAACGTGGCGAGTTCACTTATTATAACTCAAAACAACTAATTCTTCACTCATTAGTCTAATATAAATGCTATAACATCAATAAATCCCCTTCTTAAAAATTATTTACAACTCTACATTCAACAAAGGAAATTCTATTTTGAACTATAAATGTAAAGATCAACTGAAAATCGTAAACTATGATTTATACCTCCCTTGCGTTCAATATTTCAACACCAGAAGCTGCAAATAGCTCATATACGCAAGCCTTTTGCTATCAAAGAACCATAAAAAATATCATTGAATAATATGTGGGCAATCAATAATTCGCGATTCGAGTATGTTTTTCTTGTATAAAATCGTTAATATAAACAACTGCCACTAAGCTCCGCGGATCTGTATAGAAACTGGTGTACATTAATTTAAAATGACGTACAATAGACTGGACTTTATTTAAAATTGGCGTTGGTTTATTTTTATATCTAAAAACGTAATGTTGTAATAATTTGTTCAATAAAATCTTTTCCTCTTTGTCCACTTTACAAGAGAATCAAAAATAAATCGGTTTTATTCTGGTTTACTCTCCTGTATATTTATCTAAAGCCGTTGGCACAAATCATCGTTGGTGTTAAAATAATCCGTTAAAACAACCGCGACTAAGTCTGAAAAGTACTACTGAAACACGTGCGAAATAAATAAGGTCAATGGCAAAACGCGACAACACTATCCATGTCGTTTTATTATGAAACTTTTGTTATGTAAGTAGCTTGTTAGTTTGTAAAAAGTTGTCCGACCCGGACCTTGGATAGATTTATATTTATTAATGTGGGTAACATGAATGTTTTTTAACCGTCAAAAATCACGTCAATTAATTAAGACTTTTATAAATCAACAAGTATTTTTTTCGAACTTTGATAACTTCAATTAATCATGCCAATAAAAAAGTTTAACATTAAAACATCGTAATCCATAAAACCCCAAAATACAAACCAATAAAATGCTTCAATAAACAAACAGATTTAACCTTCAAACGGTGTTACATATAAAATTTCGTCAAGGAATTTTTTATTAATTTCTGTAGATTAAATATGATTTCTGTAAACAGAATATCAAAACGATCCACGTGTATCCTACAAAACAAGTGTCATTATTTATTGGGATGCGATTCTTAAAAACAAACAAACTCAGAATATTCCATGAAATTTACATTCGATGGTGGGGAGATAGATTTTCGTAACGTGTATTGAACCGGAAGTTGAACAAAACCGATCGCAAAACAAACGGATCGGTTCCGGGAGCGAAAACACCGAAGCCGTGTCAAAACAATGAAGGCGGCGCGACCCCGTCGGTATCGAAACACAATCCAAGTTGTATTTTAACTTTTTGTTTATACAGAGTTGCAATTACCCCAGTTAAATTAAAATTGATTTTATCCATAAAAAATATTTCGGCTTCAGTTTTTATGATAAAATTTTCATTAAAATGATAAAAATTAACTTACTTTTTGCAGGAACAACTTGTGGTAAACTAGGTTTGGGCTGTGTTCCCATACAAAGTCGACCAATTTTTGACCCGCTGGGCGGTTTTATTCCGGACGGTTTGGGAATTCCACTTTTGATACTTGCACCACTTTCACTAGCCTTACTAGAAACACTCACGTTATCACTATTGTCCACCATACCAGATGATGGATTAGTTTTTGATTCAGTTTCATGCACTAGTTCGCTCATTTTCTATTTGTTTTTATTTACACCGAAATGTCTTGTTGATTTAAAGTTAATAAAATGTTCATAGCCGTTTTTAACGTTTTGTATAACTTGAATTGATCAAAATTGAAAATGGCGTCGCTTAAAATCGAAGCTCAGAAGAATTCAAAAAGGCACTATCATTGGTGTATAAAATTAAAACCTGAAAAAGAAATAAAAAAATGTTAAATGGATTACTTTGATCACATCGAGGGTGTTTATTAAAATTATATACTATTTTCGAATTTCTCTGAACGAACATTATAATTTTCATTCAACAGACGGAAGCTATAAAATTTATCCTATTTTGAATGCATATCCGTATAATTATTATTCATCTGAGTTTTAAGAAAACTAACACACGTGGATTAGTATATTGATTTAACTTACTAATCCCACTTTTACCACCTCTTGATAAATTTATGCCATAGATAAATCCAACTCTTAGCTAACTACAGCGCTTAAAACCGCTGTAACTATCCCCTAGATAGTTAAACAGGAGGATGGTAAAAGTGGGCCTTAAATAAATTAATTTGTTTAAATCGCAAATAATAACCAAATTAAAAAACTTATTGATAACAACAAACCAGTTGAATTTAACGTGTACATTTGCGATTGAGCCAACGCAAGTATTCATTGCAGAACATTTGGCATAAATCCAATATCCGGATAATAAATTACATACTATATTTCGGTTCATACGATGGTAAAGCTATACAATCATGAAATCATTGCATAGCTTTTATTGTGATGATTTGATGTCCATGGGTTTTCAAACTTAACTGAACATACCAACAGCTAAGTAAAAATGCGATCAATACAAACATAAATTGTGCCGAAGAATGTAAATATTATAAATAACCGGGTTCATAACTCAAAATATATATGATTTATAAGAATAGACCGTCCGATCTGTCCAAATTCATTAATAGCACATGAAACACTAACAATGTTGAGATTACTATTTTTAACAAAACCATAAATATCAATCGATGCATAAAAAAATCTGTTTTCAATTTTTTGCTCAAGTTATTGGTTTTCACTTACGAACAAAGATAGATATTTCCATAGAATGTGACGTAAATTTTTTGCAAAAAAATAAAACAATCTTAGTATTTCGCTGTGATCATGTTATTCCATTGATTATTGAATAGATGTAAATAAAAACGTCTAGAGGAACTTCGAGGTGAAACATCAGAGAGGCACGTACGCACAAGTTCGAAACGGTTCATTTGCGTTAGTTTTAAAAATACTTCGAGCTACCGAACGCGGCTTATAAACAAAAGGGAGTTCCAAATACAAAAGATGAATCACATAGGATTCGGGCAGACTTAAAGCAAGTTCGATGAAGTTGTCTGGAACTATATTATGCAAGAATTCATATTGTCATCATAATCCATCGTAAATTCCAATTACTCATTCGATGAAAGAATTTTTATACGCTATAAAATGTTTCTACAGAACATCCCTTATTCGAGGAGCGAACATTATAAATACACCAGGTAATCGTTAGTAATATCACTAAGGTCTAAAGCTTCCTTAGTATCGGTTATTCAGATTTAGTGTACATGATGTGTTTAATAAAAAATTTTTTAGTTACAAAATCATATCTCTGTAAATAACTTATATTCTTTTGTTGGGTCTAACCAGTATAAAATAAACAGTAAATAGAAATAATAACCAAGTAGTAATGATAAATGAAGATTGGATTGAAATGAATCCAAAGTATTACATATATAGCACACATATATGAAACATACAATAGACCTAAAAAAACGAGAGAAGGAAACTCCAAAAACATCTTCAAAACCGTAGTGAACAACGTAACCAACTAAATTTCTAAATTATTGACACCTTTCCAAATTTCATCGAACAGAGCTGGTCATTCCAATTAAAGAGTCTAAGAAATGTAAAAATAAATCGTAATAGAACGGAATGTGATTACAGTAACCAGCCATTAGTGAAATTGGAGATTTCCTTAATATATTTGTATTACAAGGGTACCAGGGGGTGTGGAGAGTGCAAGGGGTGGCGCAGCACAACAAAGGAGATCCCCTCCAACAAGCTATCGCGAACTATACCGTAATGCTAAATCTTATCCATAAATTTAATAATGTAAATATTCCTGAATAGTCGTAATTTAATATGGCCTTAAATTATCCAGTATGATTGTGTTTTATTAAATTCCACGTCCTTGTTATCCTTCCATTTGAAGGTATACCTTCCTGCTATCAACCTTCCTCGTTGATAGCCAACAATGCCGCTAATTTTCTTGTTTCCAAATTTGCAGAAACCAAAGTATGTATCCGTTCTGTATCTTATCTATATCTAATAGTTGATGTATAAAAAATTATCAATAATCAAACAATATCTTTCTCCTAGCAGATCTTTTTCGTTCGGCAATTTCCTTGCATATATCCAAAACTAAATTCGCAAAGTAAAAAACTTTTTATTAAAAACCTAGAGCGTTTGAAAGAAATGTATTGACTGATATGGATGGCCATTCATCGGAGAGGTTTGGTTCAACGAATATGGGATCCAACTACAATGAAACAGACTTGAAATAATCCATAAAAGCTTCGATGATGCTACGACCTGTACTCAACTCCACATTATCCTACATCAAAAGCTACGCTTATTGGTTCCCTTCAGAGGATGTCTAAATTTTAAAGAATTTAAAGTTTTCAAGCGACCAAATAAATTCCACACAATAACATAATATATGTCAATAACAATTGTACACCAAGCTAATTGTAATGATTTGGCTATATACATTGTAATGGTATTAAGTGAATCATATTTAATTTGTCACATTAATGTACATTAGTCTAAAATAACCTTATCAACAAAATATTATCTAGAAAAGCATATATAATTATCTAAAAACGCAAATTAAGAAATTGATTCATTGATAGAATATTTTTCCAAAACAGATTTTAAAAAAAGATTTTGTTTGTTTTCACTTTTTCCATGATATATTTTTTTCCTAAAAATACAACCTGACTAACGAGAATGAAAATATTGAAAACAGATTAGAGCATCGAATTTTTACGAACCCACATAATTAAAAAAAAAAATAGGTATTAACAGAAAACACATTAATACGCCCTCAAGTCGGCAGTTAGGATGAATATTTCCTTTGAAATTTAAACACAGCAAAAACAAAGATATAAGAAACGAAAGCTCTCCAATATTCTGCGTCTACGTCAGTAATAAAGTAAACAGAATCGCGTTCCTGTCCTATTTCGGATCTATCGGTGGAAAATCGACGGAAAATCTAATAAATAACTTACAGGATTTGCATTTAGCAAACATGTTTTCGCTTAGTCTCGAAGCTGATGATTCTCTCTAATTCAACTGAAATCGATACAACGACCTACATAAAGAGTGTTTACAATGGTTTAAGCCCCGCAAAATCATTAATCAATTGCCGACACAAGCAAACACTTAACAGATTTGGCTCAACCATGTTTTCCTCAAACGATTAGGGACGCTAATTAAAAGAAAATGCCTTCAAACGAAACCTAATTTAAAAATAACGAATTCAATTCCTAGCGCCTAAAAATGAAATGAGTGAATTGTGATGATTCATTTATACAACTCTTTATAGTTCGTTATTTTCACGTATAACGAGCTTGTTAGTTCATAAAATTCTAAAATAAACCAACATAAAAAAATGAATAACAAACTGTTGCTTTGTGTCTACGAATCCACATGAAAATTTGAAATAGAACGCTTTTTTACATTGATTTTCAATGTTATTATTGGCCTTGTAGAATTTACGACCCACTTAATAATGTTTAATAATGCTTTTTTGATTCAAGTGGAAATCTTAATAATTTTTTAAAGCTGTGTATTTTCGATTGTATTTCGATGTTCACCTTGTCCTTGCTAATTTTAACCAGTAGAATTTATGATTCGCTCAATATTCGCAGTGATAATCATAAAATCGCGATGTAAATCTTTTTGACGTGTATTAGTATTTTAAAATATGAGAGCTTTTATCAGCTTTACCTTCAAAATTTTGCTATATATTGGGCGTGTATACAAAGTTGTGGCATTGACATTGATATAAATACGAAAGGCTGATACATATATATATTTCGGAGATCTACGTGAACATCTGTGGGGAAAATCAAGATAATCTGTATATTTATATCGTCCAACAGCGAATAAAGTATGAAAGCGATGCTATTCTTGGGATCTAAAAAATTTGATATTAGATTGTTGAGAATGCCAACGAATTACATTTCATAAGTTTATACTTAAAATACATTTCGTGACTAAGGATTTTTCTTATAAATTGAATCCTGTTAAAATGTAAACTAAATTTCTGTAATTGATTTTAGCAATTTTTAAAGAGGAGTATTTTTAAACATGTACGTAATTCATTTCAGCAAAAGCATAAAAGTGTTTTCGAAATTATTTAAAAGAATCGCATTGAAATAAATTCTTTAACACCTCGTTCATTTTTGTAATACCTACAACTTCAGCCATATGTTATATATCTAGAGAAAAAAAAACATTTGTTTACATAAATATTGCCATTATCCATACAATCATACACCCACTTTAACATTTGCTTTTTGATTAGATACTAATATTTATAAAGCAACGCATTACAATTTTGTAAACATTACACAACTCGAAGCGACACAAAACTCGACTTTTTTTACACTTCTCTTTTCTGCTATTTACTAATAAGAACTTGATAAACATCTTAATCCACGTTAAAAGGATTATATTAATCGTAAATCGTTCTTTGGTGGAGACAGTAAGTAATGCGGGGCGTTTGGCATTTGAAACGAGAAAATCGATCAATGCCTCAGAGGCTACTGGCGTCAATAGCCAAGACAAAGCCAGACAACATTGACCCTGTTTGAGCAGCCATAAAGTTTTCCGTGGCGATGACGAGACGCGTAAACGAAGGGCGAGTCAGACACTGACATCAACAACCCACACATTGCGAAATTTAAAATTATGCATTATGAGTAAACGCGATATTATTAAATCAATCCACTTTTACGATCAAATCAACTAAAAATTAAAATGCGTGTTATGCATCAAGTAGAAATCAAAACATATGCGGTAAAACCTCGATATAATGGATTAATACATGAATCTGTTATAGCCAAAAGTCTGTTTTATGCGAAATTTTTAACA